GATGCTTATTTGTTGCCATCCTACCAATTTCTTATGGTCGAATTTTGTGATCTTATTGAAACATTTCAAGTTCTTCTTGAGCAATTTTGGTTTGTTATAGCGTGAAGTGGATATTGACGTGGCCAAAGAAACGTCCCCTTACGTGAATTTGATTCTCAAAGTTGGCGCATGATAATGCGTCTGGCTAGGCATGCGTTGTGTGTATGCAATTTTTAAGAATCATTTCAAATCACTTGAATCAAGAGATTGAAAGATTATGTAATATCTGAATTCAGTTCACCTAATCCTTATATGTAAGTGTTCATTATTTCCCATTATTTCCCATTATTAAGTAACGAGATGTGATGAAGCATTTATTATAAACGAAACAGCGAATTTGGTATTTCTTAATGGCTTTTGGCTCGTCATTTTTCGAACAATCTATTAGAGGAGTCGGTCCTCTAGGACCATGCATCAGGAGAGACTAACACTTTCTTATATCTCGTCTACTTTTATAGAATTTTCAGACCCCATCTTCAGGTGAGGTTGTGTTTAGATTTTGAGCTCACGTGGCAGGGTCTATGCCGACGCGGCCTGTTAACCCATACAGGAGAGGTTAGCTGAACGCAAAGTTATTTAGAAATCCGAACCAGATAGAGGCATCTCAAATGCGTTGCTATGCGTAATCTGGAGACATCCCCCCCATTCGAAAGATCAAGGAATCATTAGAAATAGAACGCAAAAACCAACAACCAGATTGAGAAGACCCATTGTGGGCACTGACCATAGCTATTGGATAGACTGAGGGAGATAAAGAGGGAGATGAAGTGAGAAGGAGAGCAGGGTAAGGCATCGAGGAAGAGTCTCTAATAGTTTATAAGTAGGGTTTCGAGAATATCAATAAGTTGAACTTACTCATGAGCTTCTAATACACAGCGTATTCACAATCACACACATACATGCGAAACGGTAATTTATCTAGAAGTGGTCCTAAATCGTTTTCCCAGCTTGGTCGTATTGTCAGGGCGACCTAGATAAATACCAGGCGTTCTGACAGTTGTCTGCCATAGTTGCATGATAATTTCCGGTGTCGAAAAGTGAATTATAATATTCCCAGACGTTCCACAGGCAGGAGTTATTTTGTGATGTTGAGAAAATTTTCACTAAAAGACTAAACCAGAAAAGTTGATCGGCCACAATCCGACCAATCCTAACAAAATTTCGTTTCATAAGTAAGTTTTTGGTAATAAAGATTTTATATCTTATTTGACAAATTCACGCTTACCCAACATGCAGGCTATCGAAGTTAATGAAAAATAAAAAACAGCACCATCAAAGCTATTAATATAAATATGTTGGGGCCTCAAATTTGGTAGCAGCTTCTTTTCGCTTTTTATAAATGGTTTGACCTAGTTTTCGCAACATTTGGGTTATCAGAGCGACCTAGATAAACCCACCTTGTCCGGAGTCCTCTGCCAGCGTATCCATGATAATTTTTGGCGTCGAACTGTAGACTTAGCAAATGCTCAGGCGTTTCGCTAGCAAGCGTTCTTTTTCGTTACCAAGCCCGGCACTGTTAACTGAAGATGCCGACTACGATACCGGCAATAAAATGGGCAAATTCTCAAGCTCACGGTCCACCCTGCAGATTATCATGGTTTTGTGTTCAGATAATCTCCTCTGTATGTAAGAAGATCACATGTTCCTGGACTCTGCACCTTTGGCTAAGTTAAGTGATTTTTTTTCGACAGCCTCTCTGAATGTGGGGTAAGCATGAATCAGTCGAACGTATCATTAAATGTCCCATTAAGCTGGCCTAGTTATGTTATGTGAAATTGGATTGTGACCAGCCAACTTTTTTAAGGGATTTTGTAAAAATCTTGTTAGAAGCTGATTTTCGGTTATGTTGCTGTGTAAACCCAACAAAAACGAACCAAATGTAAGCACGGTACTTTGACGGCTGTTTCTCAGAGGTCAACCTTCAAAACCTCAGGAAATTCACCGACAAATCTCTAAAGAGCGGTATATATACTCTTGACTAGTTAGCTTAATGTGAGTTGTGACAATGATATCTTGCTCTGATGATGTTCTTCATATGACGGACAAAAGCTTAGCACCATTTCACCGGAATCGAAGGTGATTACCTCGGAAACAGCGTCAACATAAATCTTCCAGTAAAGCCAAACCGCCGTCTTTTTCTGGTGGAACCGACCTTCGAACCTCTTCACCCAACACTTTCACTCAAAATAGAAGTAAGCTCAACAATTATGAAACAAGAAATTCCTCGAAACCCAACTTTTCCTTCTAATGTGACTACCAAACATAGAGTGCCGACCCTACGACGCGGCACCACATGGTAGGATTAAAGACAAAATAATTCTGAGTAGGGGCTGCATGGAATCGAAAGCTGTGCATAGCACAATATATGCTTAAAAGTTGGGCTTTCTGCAATATCTTTGTTTCTAATTGTTGAGCTCACTTACATTTCGAGTTAAGGGGCTTGATGAAGACCTTCGAAGGTCGACCCCACCAGAAGACGACGGCGGATTTATCTTGTCGACGCTGCATTGGAGGCAATCCCTTTTGATTCCGGTGAAAACATGGCAAGCTTTAATCTATCATATGAATGACATCACTAGAGCAAGATATAATTATTTCATATAACTAGGGTTGAGTTAATAGAAGTCATCGGTTTATTTCCACATATTTTTCGTCTTTAAGTAGATTTTCGAGACCACCATTAAATCTCAATCAACTTATTTCTATATGTATATATCGTCTAAACATATGCCTTTTTGAGGTTTTGATTGAATTGCTTAGTTTAAATCGTAGATCTTTCTGGTATGATTTTTTGTCGCATATGCTTTCATGTATACACAAATGCATTAAATCAGCCGTGATAGCTCTAATTTTGGTTACAAGAAATCTCTTAAAATAGAATTGTCGAGTTAAAGTATTCGGTAGAGAGATTCAAAGGTCGAGCCCAGTAGTTCTCTTGAATTTGGTTGTTATAATGGTACCCTGCTGTGGTGATGTCTGTCACAAGATGGATGAAAGCTTTACCAGTTTTCATCGGAATAGAAGGAGAGCTGTTCCGTCGGGTTTCTTGTATTTATGTACACATGAAAGCAGATGTAGTAATAAAGCATAGATAAGCACATACTTCCAGAATGCCATGTGATATAAAATAACCAAATGAATTTAAAACTCAAGAAGGCATCGGTTTAAACCATATATACAACAGATAGGGGTAAACAGATGAGTTTTGTTGGCTCCGCACGAATTAGTCGAAAGAATGATAGCTTGCTTTGATGATGCCCGTAATACAACAGACAAAAGCGCAGCACTTCTTCACCAAAGTCAGAGGAGAGTACCTCAGGAACAGATTTAGCAAGAATGTTCCGGTAAATCCAATCGACAGTTGACCAAGAGCAATCTTTTTGTGGCATCCACTGCCGAATATCTTCGTCAGACACACTTCCACTCGAAAGGCAAGTGCTTCACTATTCCGAGCAGAAGTGCTGGCAAGAAGCCGGGACGAGGAGGCGAGGGTGGCAGCGCCCTTTTTGAACTGTTGATCACAGTCACCAACACGGTCGGCGCATGGCCAAGCCTTGTTCCAACCGGCTGCGAAGGCAGACTCAGACGTACAGAAAAGTGACAAGGGCTAATGGCGAATCGCGCGACGATCTTCAGTCTGAGCCACAGCGGGTCGGCAATGCAGAGCTCACGAGGCACTCAGAACTGTTCAAACGAGCTGGGCTGGCGTAGACTCGGAAAACTGGCCGATGAGCAGCGTGGCAGAGGTGGACGGAGTTGTGAGAATAATCGATCCGACAAACTAACCGGATTCTGATTGGTGGAGAAAGGTTGCCTCGAACGTGTGTGAAGAGGCGGAGTAGGGAGGATCTAATGAATCCACGGCCTCGGGTGTGTGCGTGCGACAGAGAGAGAGTGAGATAAGAAAAATCTGGTGGGAAAAGGCCTACCGCGTGAAAAAGTGTCCTGGGCTCAATTCGTGTGGGAAAGTGAAGAGTCAAGGCTGCACTAAAAGTGCGGACGAAGAGGAAGCGTCGGTTTGGCATCGCCGAGCCGTGGTTGAGTCACTTAACATGCGGGCGGCCGAGGCTTGGCTTCGGAAGGGCGGGGGCCTCTGGACCGGCGTCGCCAAGGCGAAGATCCTTTCAGGCCTCGCGAAAGAGACATTGGATGTCGATACGAGTTAGACTTCGACCGGTGAATCAATAAGTCAAAGGAGCGGTTACGCCGAGAGAGCAAAGGAGAGAGAGAGAAAGACAATGAGAGAGGGAGAGAGGTGAGGCGGCAGAGCGCTGTCTCAGCAATAGATGAAAGTGGCAAAACTGTCAGTCGGCTTTTGAAGCCGGCCTACTCTGATTGGTGGATTTTGGCATCGTTAGATGCATGCGCCTCAGTGCGTACTTGCATATGTCCGCATGCCTAGCAAGCGCTAATTACGGTTACGCACCCGAGAACAGGTTTTCTTTTTTGAAACTACCCGGTCGATATTGCATCATTTACCGCGCCTATCAAATAGGGCACAAGCCTAATCACTCTAACTGTCATTTTTCGAACCGGACGACGGTGATTTTTTAGACGTTAAGAGTGCCTTTCGAACTATGTTTAAATCTCGTTGAGAGCAACTCTCAAGCTTGAAGAGATCCTGCCATCCTAACCGAGCTGTCATACGTTGTGATCATGTAGGAACTATTTTTTGAAGGGATGATGATGAAGTGAATGAGCTTAATTTTATGGAGGTAATTAATCTTATTTTTCTAACGAATATACCAGGACTCTGATCACTTTCAAAGTGATTATGACTTCTTGTCGGACCG